AAGTGTCATATCATTGCTGGAAATTGAGAGAGTTTGTTACCCCAGTTCTGATGATCTTCAATTTGTTTGAAATTGATCTAGTACAATATTCCTTGTACAGCAGGAGGAGACACCAACTTGTCTATCAAGATACTACTTGTTTATTTTTTATGTAAATAAAACCCATAGGGCATCTGCAAGTGCTGTTGTTCCTTACTAAAGGCTCAATTGTTCTGACTTTCCTAATACTTCTTTTACAGTAGTAGTTCATGGTGTTAAATAATTATATGAAGTTTTTAATTTTTTTGTAAATATTAGAAGTATGTATCACCATGCCATATTTATGATGAATATCAATACCAGTAGTAGTTTATTTATGTAATTTAATCATATCACCAGCTTGGCCCTAAATCTGTGTTAAGTCAGCATGTGGTAGGAAGATTTGTTGAAGTAATATATTAGGAAGATTTGTTGAAGTAATAGTGGTGAATGATATTATGAAACAAAGATCTTGCTTGAGACAAATACTTTTTACTCCTCTAGGATTTCAAAGTCAAACTACCAGGTTTTTTGTTTTAGTCTGTGTTTGGTCAAGTCTATTCTATTCTTTCAATTATTTTGTATAGAGTTGGCACCCAAATCTATGATATAGTCATAGTTTTTACGCCCTATATTTTAGTACTAATGACTGCTTTGATTTTAAAAACTAAGTATGTCTATAATACATGTGGTGCACTGGTTTTGAATTTTTGAATTGCACAAGTCAAGTGAGTTTTTGTGCATGTGCTCCAACTACCAGTATTTGTTTTGACAAGTGCTACCAAGAGACAGTCTTTCAGCCCCACAAGTCATTACAGAGTGACAAGATAGCCCAAAAACCATGCACAATGTTAATTATCAGTAGCCAATGTTTTGGCCTTGATTTCGGTCTTGAACTGACAATTTGAGCTGTATCTCAGAGTGCTACTAGCAGTGCTACTGGGAGTGGTGATGCTAGGAGTGCTAGGAATGCTATGAGTGCTATGGGTGCTACTAGGAATGCTATGGGTGCTACTAGGAATGCTATGAGTGCTAGGAGTATGATAGCTATCCAACCTGTTACCAGTGACGTGGAATCCAAGATGTAGGCCAGCTTGCCAAATGTGGGCTCTGCTTAGGCCTTCTCCAGATGGCACTTACAAGAGAATCTACTAGTAATAAATCTGCCATCATACTAGTAGATGCAGCTCAGGGTTGGGAGTTTTGTTGTTTGACATGATTACCTGAAACAACAGCATTGGAGGAGGAACTGGTGCTGGSAGATGCTGGGACTGCAAAGTGAGTATTTTCCATACGCTCCAGCAGGCAGTGTTCTTCAAAAGAGAGGTCGTCTGTGTCTGATAAATTCAAAGTTGGTTTGGATATCTAGTAGTGCTTGGGTTGTTGTTTTYAGACACAATTGTCACCAGAAACAACAGTATTTTGTATTTCTGATATGA